AGACATCTCCTGGGAGGAACACTCAGCTAAGTCAGATCAGTCACGTTGCTTCCTGACCTGTACTGAAGAGCTCTACCTGACTTAGGAAGTGCATGGGCCAACCAGAGGCAATGCTCTCCTAGATTTGGTCTTGGCCAAAGAAGACGATCTGGTGAGCAACTTGAATATAGAGGGTAGCCTGGGCAACAGTGACCATGAAACCATCATGTTCACTGTCCATCACAAGGCAGTCAAACTGGATAGCAGGGTTGAAGTTTTGGACTTCAAAAAGCCAATTTCAACAGGGTCAGGGCAATAGTAGGGGGAGCAGGACCAGGGACTGAAGGTGGAAGGAGTGCATGAAGAGTGGTCATTTCTCAAGGACACAATCCTCGAAACACAAAAGAAGTCCATTCCCATGAGGAGGAAAGGTAGCAGAAGGGCTGGTAAGCCCTCTTGGCTTAATATCGGTAACATCATCCTCTTGAAAAAGAAAAGAGAGGCATACAAACAATGGAAGCTTGGGACAGTCCCCAAGGAGGACTATACAACATCAGCTTGCACTTGTAGGGAGCAGATTAGAAAGGCTAAGGCAGCGACTGAATTTAAACTAGCAACAGAAATCAAATTTTCTTTAGGCATGTAGGGAACAAGAGGAAAACAAATAGAAATGTGGGGCCATTGCTTAACAACTCAGGACAGCTGGTTACTGACACTCAGGAGAAAACTGAACACCCAAATGACTATATTGCTTCAGTATTTCACTGGACTAGGGGCAAAATCATACTAGATATGGTTCAGAATGGGCATGGTGGGAATGACCGCCTTCCTACTATTGACATTGACTGGTGCATGATCAGTTAGAAAAGTCAGACATTTATAAGTCAGCAGGACCGGATGAACTTCATCCGAGAGTGCTGAAGAAGCTGGCCAAAGTCATCACGGGACCTCTGACAAAACTCTCTCAAAACTCGTGGCGCTCGGGGGAAGTCCCTGAAGACTGGAAAAGAGCCAATGTTGTGCCCATCTTCAAGAAGGGGAGGAGAGGACCTGGGCAACTATAGGCCAATTAGCCTAACTTCTAGCTGAGGGAAAATCCTGGAAAAATTAATCAAGCAGTCTATGTGCAATAGGCTTGCAGAATGTAGGATTCTGAATGACAGCCAGCGTGGCTCCATCGCAGGCAAGTCTTGTCTTACCAATCTCAACTCCTTCTACGGCCAGGTAACTCACCACCTGGCTGACAGAGAGGAGGTTGACACTGTATACCTAGACTTCTAAAAGGCCTTTGATCTGGTATCCCATGATGTTCTCATGGGAAAATTGGAGGATTGCAGGCTTAACTGCTCAACAGTTAGGTGGGTAGGAAGCTGGCTGTGGGGTAGGACCCAGAGAGTCCTGATGAACAGATCTGTGCTGTGAAAAGTGGCCAGTGGTGTACCTCAGGGGTCTGTGCTTGGTCCAGTGCTTTTCAATATCTTTATCAATGATTTGGATGTGGGGGTGAAGAGGTCACTGGCCAAGTTCGCATATGACACCAAGTTATGGGGGAGTGTGGTCATGCTTGAAGACAGGCTGCAGATATAGGCAGACCTAGGTAGGCTGGCAAGATGGGCAGATCAGAATCAGATGAAGTTCAATATTGAGAAGTGTGAAGTGCTCCATCTGGGGACAAACAATCACCAACATGCTTACAGGCTTGGTGGCACTGAACTGACTAGCACCACGACTGAAAGGGACCTAGGTATAATAACAGACCATAGTATGAACATGAGCCATCAGTGAGATGCTGTAGCTATCAGGGCAAACAATATTCTGGCATGCATCAACCGATGCATCTCAAACAAAACCAAAGAAGTGAGACTGGACGGTCTCCTCAGTGTGGGCACCTGATCCCAGTTGTCTTTCCTGCCTAGTACAGGAGGGCTGGACCCAATGATCTTGCGAAGTCTCTTCTAGCACTTTACAATCTATGAATCATCTATAAAAAATATAAGAACAGTATGATTTTGCCCCTTAAAACGTTTTAAAATGTAATGTCTCCTACTTGAGGATTATATTAGCGACCATCAATTTAATATGGTTCTGAAATTCATCTCCATAATTCAATATTATGTTTACACATTTGTGTAAACATGATAAAAAAGCCAGTATAGAAGCCACAAGTTTTACTTCATTTTGGCAGCATTTTCCATCTATAAATTTCTGCATAATCAAAATACAGGTTTAGTGAAAGTGTAAATCTAACTGGATCCAATTTTTCTGCCCTTCCCTCAACCTTTCATAAGCCAACCATACTTTAAGCAGAAATCATAGTTAACCAGAAATGTTGGACCCTGCTACACATTACATATATTATGTAATTAACTGGTTAACTGTGCAATAAATTTAGACCAGCCACACATGCAAAGTAATTATCACACTATAAAAATTACTATCCAACTATAAAAACATCTAACCACCTACAAAGTTAGTGCTTGAAAATTTATACCAACTCTACAGCTGGTTTCTATCCAGTTTTAATTTTAGTGTGTGGCAGGACCCTTTGATACACCAAAGTTCATGAAGGTAGATTCATTATGCTAACATATTTTTAAATTCTATTCAATTGCTCCAAATTAATATCTGAACAATGTGCAGGCCTTCTAATTTTACAGTAAAAGCCAAACCTTTCACAAAAAGCAAACTCATGACATCTTTCCTACAGAAATAACTTCCCCTGAATAATGTAACAACTGTCTATAAAAAAGAGAATCACTCAAATTAAACTTTTGTACAGACATTTTTTCTCACTAATTCATAAAAAAGGATGTGCCTGCAGGAAAACTGTTGTGTAAATTCTGATTATTATCTACTACTATTCATCAATTAATGGTAGTAACAAAGGAATATCTTAAAATGAATGTGCCTTATTAATACTGTGTAACAGCCACCCCTTCAGATAGGTCAAATGAAAAATTGCCAACCAGCTGGTTAATTTATTCAGCACAGGTGTTCACTATTTATTTTTCAGCCATTTGCCTTTTTTCAATACAGCTTGTTGTAGAGACAGTATTCTTTTCCTTTGATGGATGCACTTTGTTCAGAGGCCATTCATTTCAGTTTCACACAGTATATATTATACTGCTACCCAGCTGTTTATTCTTTCAGAATAAATGTTTAATGGTTACTTCATACGAGTTATAAAAGTTAAGCAACAACAACAAAAATCTACCCAGAACATGTAAACTGTCTGGAGTGCCTTGATCAACTCTCTCCACTAAGTTTAAAGTTGGTTTGTAAACTGCTTCTTTTATCCAACACCAGTTCTTTCTAGCAGTGTGCTGTTCGATGCATTAGACTGAATTGTGTGTTTAACAAAAAATCTCGAACTAATGTGAAAGTTCAGATGTAACACTCACAAACTGTGAAGCAGTTGAAAATTTTAGTCATCTTATTTTTGAAGCAGCTGTGATTAACACTCTTATTTCACCATACCTAGGCAATTAGTAATATATAAAACACTTAAAACCATTATTGGAATAGTATTAAGAATATTTATGGTGACATTAAGGTAGAAATAGTTAAAGTGAGAATCAGACATTTTAGAAGGATTTTTACACAAATGTAAACAATTTTTTAAAATCTGGAATCTGATCAAGTTTCTCTTATAATGTGACTGTCAACTTTGCACACCTTGATTTTTTCAGCTTGCATTACTTACCTTTCGGCATTCAACTCTCTCTTCCTACCTTTTAGGTTTAAAATATAAAATGTGTCACCTTATGAAAATCATTCAATGCTTCACCCAGTTCAGTGTGAAATGATTCAGCAGAAACTGACAAGATATCTACTAAAACCTCTTAAGAACAAAAGTATAATTCAATGCAAGAAGTATAAAACAAAATTAAATGCACAGGATTATCCAATTCTGAAACTGAGGTTCACACTATATGCACTCAACATTATTATGCTTATGTATTAAATTTAGATTTTGTTATGCCAGTATTTTAACTGACAAAAAGTTTAACTTTTAAACTGTCTGATTTGTTTTTAATCAGTATTATACAAGATGCTGATTTTAAATTTCCTTCATTTTAAACAAAACCTTTAGCCATGTAATCATTAATCACGTTTAGATGTCAAACTAGCATCAGAAAATAAAAATAAATTTGTTTTAAACACATATTTGATTCCTAAACTGGCTGATAAATGATATACTGTTTGCGCTGTAACAAATTACAAGATTTAATAGATTAGTTCTGTGGTCTTCGTACATATATGTGCACACAAATATATGCAACAAACATGTTTTAGACACATACCAGGTACTACTGCATCCTAATCCATTTTATTGCAACACAAGTTATTTGAGGAACACAAGATAAGTATCTATTTGTTGGAAGTCAAATGAAAACAAAATTATTTTGATTCACAAAGTAGACATAGATACGAATAATAGCTGACTTTACCCTACAGTAAAAAGGCTCCCCAGCCATAGCAATAAGGTCCCCCAGGTCCCTTTTTAGATATTTTAATCTAAAAATATTATACTGATCTTACATACAACTTTTTTTTAAGAAATATGTTTTCCTATTTAGCCTTTTCTTCAGTTATTATACTTTTGAAGAGTCATGTTTGGGCTCCATTTTTTTGTAAAAATTATTTCCTAGTACATAAGTGAGTGCAGAATGAGAAAATACAGTCAAATAGACAGAAAAGTTTATAACTAGTGAGCAATTCCAAACACACTTTTCTTATGAGAAATGTATTGACTATTATCCCAAAATTAAACTGTCCAACAACTTTTATAATATCATTTTTGCAAGAAATCTTTAAAAGTGTCATTCAACTCTGCTAAAGTTCAAGGGATTTGATAGGGTTCTTTAGCAAAGCATTTTGCAATTCTTGGCTCTCTCATAACTCAAAAGGAAATAAAGGAAAAATAATTACTTACAACTAAAATCATAATATAATAATTCATCCACAGTACATACATCTATTAAGAACATTGTGTTTATAACTTCCATATTTATAATTACCTGATATAACAGACATCTTCTACATGCTGAATGGTTGTATCCTTCTTGCTAAGAGAAATAGCTTCTTCTGTTTCAAGGATCAATTTTCTCCAGTCTTCGCTTTCTTCGCTGACCTCAGTCTTTTCCTTACAAACAAATATAGAATGATAGGATTTTGGAAGAGTGCCCTAAATTTTTTAATAATGTTACCAATGGCTATTAAATAAACTAACCTGAACGTTTTAATTGCACTGATTGCAGTATATGATGAAAACAAATGATATGCAATTTTATAGTTTAAAAATGCAGTTTCCCACAAATAAAGGCAGATTTTAATTCATCTAGACAGCATGTTCCTCTGTTCATGATAGATGTATTTACTAAATGAGCTGGCAGTTATAACTGCTTGTGGTAAAAAAGTGTTCTAAGTGCCATAACACCGCTTTCTACCAATGTTATAGTTGATACCTTCCCTGCCCTGCCTTAAACTATACCTTAACTTTTTGCATTTTTTTTCAAATTTGAAAAGAAAATATTGACGTTACAACACTAAAATAAAATGCATATATATTCTCATGAATGTAAATACTAAAAACTTATAAGAGGCTTTTCCTCTTCACAATTCATGTTTTGGCTAAATATTTGGTCCCTATATTTTGGCTCAGAAACCTTGAATTCAGAGGGATTTAGGAATGAAACGATTTGAGAATTGTGTAACCACTTTAGAAATGTACCATAAATCATGTGATGAAATTAGGAAGAAACATCTCCCTGATAAGAACATGAGTAGTATTTTCCCTCTCAATGCCACACTGTTCATTTATGTATAAGTGCTGTTATGTTGTTTAATGTGCTCTTCCAAAATAAAGAACATTTATCAAATGTGTCACTGGCAAAGCAGTGCAACCTACCAAGAATAAGAATACAAGGGAGAATTTTCATATCTGGACATCTTAAAAATGAAATTGTACATCTAAAGAGCAGTCCTGTATCTCTCCACAAAACTATGAAAAGTAGCACAGAAGCATACAACATATTTCATAGGATCACAGAAAAGTAGGGCTGGAAGGGACCTCACGAAGTCCATGCCCCTGTTCAAGGCAGGATCATCCTTGACTAAACCATCCTAGCCAAGTGTCTAACATGCTCTTAAAAGTTTCCAAGCATGGAGATTCCACAACTTCTCTAGGCAGGCTGTTTCAATACCTGACCACCCTCACAATCAAAGTTCCTGAAAATTTCCCTTGCTGAAGCTTGAGGCCATTTTTTCTAGTCCTGCCCCCTTCACCCACAGAGAAAAACCCATCTCCATCCTCTCTCTAATCACCATTCAAGTATTTGAAGACTTATCAAATCCTCCCTTAGTCTTCTCTTCTTCAGACTAAAAAACCTTTCCTCATAATTCTTGCCACTGAGGCCCCTAATCATTTTTGTTGCCCAGCACTGGACAACTGTCCTTCTTGAAGTGTGAGGCCCAAAACTGAACACAGTATTTTAAGTGAGGCCTCACCAGTGCTGAATACAGCTGAAGAATCACTTCCTTTGATTTGCAAGTGATGCTCCTGTTGATACAACAAAGGATGCTGTTGGCTTTTTTGGAAACAAAGAGCACACTATTAGCTCGTATGCAACTTATGGTCCACCACCACAACCCCCAGTTCCTTCTCTCCAGTACTCCAACCTAGCCAATCATTCCCATCTGTATTTGAGCATGCAGTTCTACCGTCCTTGTTGAATCTCAACTAATTGTCTGTGAACCATTTCTCCAGTCTATCAAAGTCATTCTGGAACCCACCCTTACCCTCTGGAGTGCCCACAATTCCACCAACTTGGTGTCATCCACAAATTAGCTACGCATTCACTCTGTCCCATCATCCAAATCGTTAATGAAGGTGTTGAACAACATCAGATCCAGGACAGACCCCTGGTGACCTCCCCACAACTAGACATTGAGTCATGGAGGACTACTCGCCGAGTACAATGATCCAACCAGTTATGTATCCACCTTACAGTAGTTTCATGTAGTCTGTTTTTCCTTAGCTTGTCTTGTTATCACAAAAGGACTTGGCTAACATCTGTCAACTCCCTTGGTTATTTCTGAATGAAGAGATATGCCTAGAGAAAGCAGTAGCAGAAAATTCCACAGAAGGAAGAATACTGTCTATAAAGAGACTTCCTCCTATGTTCACCAAAACAGGATATTTTTTCTATTCTTGGCAAATAAATGGGATTGCATATAAAAAAAAAACTTCACTCCCTCCATTTTTTCCAGTGGAGAACACACTCACAAGACCACTTGGGTCAAAAAGAGCAACAATATTAAGAAAGAAAAAAAATGGATGTATTTTGTAGAAAATGGTATCAATTCAACATTTCTGTCACTGAACAACCCTATAACATACAGCTGCTTTTTGGCATAATCAATTAGTAGACACATATGAGCAAATGTACATAATCAATTAATAGACACATATGAGCAAATGCACATATATATACATATTATATTATCCAGTGAATTAACAAACATTATAACACTTGATAAACGGCAACATGGCCTTATTTGCACTCCTAATACTAAGCATTAAGTTAGTGGCATATTAAATAGAAAACATCTTATCAAGATATGCCTCAAATGCTCTTTGGATAATCTGAGTATGAAGTTAATTAATAGTCATAATAATTTAGTTTAAGAGTTAAAATGAATATCAGATTATTTTACTATGTGTAAAAAATGGAATACAGAAGACTTCTTCTTATATGTATTGTGTCTAAAAAATATTAGTTACTTATTCTATTGTTTTTAAGTATGTTTTCATGAAAATAAGATGCTAGCAAGTTAATTCTGGCTCCTTACCTGTTTTTCCTTAATCCAAGACAATAATCCTGAAAAGCTAAAGCTTGCCCAGTTTCCTCCATAATAACTTCTCCTGCAAAAGAAAAAAATGATTAAAAAGTTAAAAAATAAACATAATTTAACTCGGTGGAAAGAAAACTAAAAATATAGCACTTTTAGTGTTCATTCACCATCTAAAGCAGTGGTTTTCAAACTGAGTTCTGTGTAACCCTGGGGTTCCATGACAGGCCACAGGGATTTCACAAAGAGACTCGGGGTAATGCTGGAGGGGCTCAGGAGGCAGCACACCGCCTGTGCTGGGCCAGGTTGCTTGGCTCCATATTGATTTACGCGGCCTGTGGAGCCAGGGGTAAAGGTTCCATGGCAGAAAAAAAAAGTGTTATGAAAGCCCCTAACTTTAGGAAGTTTGAAAACCACTGATCTAAGCAAAAAAAAGCTCAAAACATAACAAGTAGGGCTGTGTGAAACTTCAGGTGCTGATTCGATTTGAAGGAGATTCAGCCTGATTCGGCGGCCGAATCTTCGAATCTGAATTGAATTAGGAGATGAATAAAAAGGTGTGAATCAATTCAAAGCTCTCTGAATTGATTCAGAAAAGATTCAGAGAGCTTCAGACAGTTCAGAGATTCAGGCAGTCCCCATTCGCCGCCACAGGGACTTGGACCCAGACTCCATGCCATTAAGTAGGGGGGCGGGGAGGGGGACTGGCAGCACGGGGAGGAGACCATGGAGGGGACCCCACCAGGCCCATTCCCTGCCTGCTTCCCCAGCCTCCTGAGCATCCCCCAACCCCTTCCCGCTCCCCAGCCCTGTCAATGGCTGCCCTGCCCAGCCCCAGCATCCCAGCTCTTTAAAAAAACAAAACAAAAAAACCCTACGCTCACCGGCTGCTGCCAGGAAGGGGCCGATCTCCGCTGCCCCCCCACTGCCCCGTGCTCCGTGTGGGGCTCTGGCACGAGCACCCGACCCCCACCTGCTCTCCCAGCCCTGTCAATGACTGCCCTGCCTGGTCCCAGCGTCCCAGCTTTTTTTTCTCCTTTGCCTTTTTAAAGCCCCACACTCACTGGCTGCTGCAGTGGCCATCGGGGCTTCTGGGGGCTCGTGGCAGAGCTCTCCATGCAGCACAGGGCAGTGGGGATTGCCCCCCCTCCCCCTCCAACAGGAGCCACTGAATCGGGGGGGGTTGTGTTTTTTTTAAAGAGCTAGGAGCTGGGGCCAGATGGGGCAGCCATGGGGGGGGCTGGGAGAGCAGGCAGGGATCGGGGGGCTCATGGGAGAGCCCCCCCATGCAATGCGTGGCAGTGGGAATCGCCCCTCCACTTGGCAGTAGCCAGTGCATGCAGGGCTTGTTTTTTTGGGTTTTTTTTTCAAACGAGCCGGGATGCTGGGGCCGGGTGGGGGATGGGGCCTGTTTGATTTGGAGATTCGGCCAATTTGGCAGCAGCCGAATCTCCTAATCAGATTCGGCCAAATCGATTTGGGACAGTGATTCAAATCATCAAATTGAATCACTGTCCCTCGAATCGGCCAAATTTGTAACCAAAGCGAATACTAGCTGCTTCACACAGGGTAGCAACAAGGCGTTTACATGTGCAGAACTGTAGCTATCTATATAAACTGTAAAAATTTTATTACAAAACAAGGAAGTCTATTTTCCACTCAGCAGTATTTATATGTTATCAAATGAACTATTGGGGGTACATAGCTCTATTCATAGAGCTGTGAAAAAGTTCTAGAATTACACATACTTTTGGGGATGCCAAAATAACTACTTTCTTTTAATTTGTTCTGCTTCACTGAATGCACGCCAAGAAATATTTACTCTCCCCCTCCTTGAAGATGTCACACTGAAAGTCACCTTTATTGAATGTTAAAAATTACTGAATGAATTAAAGACTAATGTTTGGGAAGAACAAAGGGTTTTTTACCCTACCAAATAATGCAAAGATAGTTTGCACTGTCCCTCTGTGTGATTTAACAGTTATCCTCAAAAAACAGAAGTCTTTATCACATTGTTTCCAAAAATTAGAAAAAATAAAAGTTTAAAAAGAGTCTTCAAGTTCAGTTCTGTTATTTAAAAGAGGATGTTTTCCAAAAGAGTTATATGCACTGACAAAGACTTCATTAAGGGTGTCAGTCCCTTTATAGTACCAGAGGGTGATGCTCTACCATATCTTGCTTAGTTAGCACAAGAAAGACAGATGTCTACTAAACAATGTCTAATTGTTCACGACTAGAAACTGACCTAAAAAAGTCCTTCAGCTCCTGAAGGGAAATGGTAAGGAACATAAATAGGACGTTTTCCCTGAAGAGAAGAGAAAATTCACTAATCACTGAATTAAAAAGTTGAGCTTAATAACAGAATCTATAGTTTAAGACTTTATGATTAGAGCTGATTCTCTCAGAGGTCCTATGTTAATGTAAATTCTCCTCCAGTCTTTCATTTTAAACAGACAAAGCCACTGCAAAGCTGTAACTAATCAGGAAACCCAGAATAACTGTAAAACGGAGCAAATATTTGTTTGCCTCATTGGGCTATTAGGAAAATGAGTATTTATTAAGGACTTTAACAAAAAACTAGGAAACATTTACATGATTCTCATCTGGAATCAATACGATCCAATGAGACTCAAACATACTTAATGACTCCCAGACTCCCTCAGAATGAATCCCACTAAAAAATAGCCTGGTACCCTTTCAGTTCTCTATAAAGATCAGTCAAAAATGCCCTCATTTCCAACAGTGGAAATTAGGTTAATTTTGTTTCTTTCTGTTGTGAGATATTATCAAAACAAATCCAATATTCATAAATTATATAATCTATCACTTCTGGGAATTAAAAAGAAAAAAGCGTAGAGAAGGACAAGAGAATCTTCTGCTTTAAATACAAGTTTCCTTGAAAGGAATATAATCTGGCTGTCACAACAAGCAAGGGCATCAATCACAGAAAATGTACAAAACATCAGCATAAAACAAAGACAGGCCTTCCAAAATTTAAATCTTGTTGAGCTTTATGTTTCCTTTATGTGGAGTACCTGAAATGTGCACATCTGCAGCAAAAGAAACAAGTATTATCAATATGCTATCATAAAGGATGAAACATTCTGTGGGGGAGGAAAAAAATCGAGCTACAATAATATAAAAGCTCTCTCTTATGTTTGTCATTAGAGTGCCCTTTGAGACATCTTTTGTCTTCTTACTGAAGTGTAGCGATTAGTTTTTTTCAAATAAAGTCTTGAACAATATTTAGTCAAGGATATGATTTCTTCAATTATGAATGTTACTACTGCAAAATAAACCGTGTTCGTCTTTTCCTCTGAATTAAACTTTTTCCCCAAGTTAATGTCACAGCCTTCTAAAGAATTCTTTTGTAAAGAAAACAACATGTTTTTTCCATGTTTTTTAATGAACTGGCTGTTGCCCTGCATTATGCGATGAATCATCATAATCTGTCAATGATTCCTAAATACTCCAAAAATGATGCTGTACAAGTATTGATGGATTTTCTAGCTCTCACAAATACAAGCTAAGTCCTTGGTAAGGATCCTTAAAGAGGAAGCAAATCTAAAAGGGAAAAAAGACTTACTAAAACAACTCTGATAGTTTAATTTAAGGAGTCATCTCAGAGTAGATAGGCATTTACTATTTTTAAGATTGATCAAAGAACTTCAAATCGAGATCTTCTGCAAATAGTGCTGATGGTATCAATGCCAACAGTCCAATTCTATATTGCACATGTCCTTACAATTCTTAAGGCTTATAATCCTCCCTTTTAGCTGACTACAGAAAAATGGATTAATAATGGAAAACCCTGGAACAGGTTCAATTATCTAAATTGGTAAGGATCTAAATTACTGCAGATAAATTACTGTATTTTCTCACAGAAACTGAAGACCAGAGTATTTTTTTCCTTCTGTAATACATACCTGTCCAAGTGCAGTTTGTTCGAAACTTGTATTATGTAAAATGTTCAGTTAGTCAAATGAAACTCTATTGTTTGCGATTAACTAAGGACCAGGCTTCTGTTCAGATTTTTTAAGTTTGTATCTAAAGCCCTTAAGAGGAACCTGGAATCACTTCTGTGAATGTTGTATGATCCAGATCCTACGTTTCCCCATTTGCTAAATAATTTAACTACTTTTTCTAGGTTCCTGAACATTCAAAAAATATCTCAGCCTAAAACACTTTTGTTGAGAGTGCAATTATTTCTTGCTGATCAGCTCTTCCTGAGACTCAATTAAAGGTAGCATGTAGCATTTTCATTTGAAGAGATGCATCAAGTTGAGAGAGATGGAACAACTGTGATAGCATGTAATACAAAAGCAGCAGCAGATAAAGCCTTTTGTAGAAGATGTCTGTTAGGAAGACTGGGTTTCTGAATGCCATGTCATAATAGCCATGGTAAAACAAGTCAAAGCTGCTGATGTCTGAAGAGAAGCTGCTGATGCTTCATGATTTCTCCTGAGAGCTGCCTGTATGTGTCTATCCTGCATTTGATCTCTCGGAAAAGAGTCTCCTACCATCAGAATAGCTGTCTTTTGCAAGGGAAGTTACTGCCACATCGATTTTAAGGATCTGGAGACAAAATGACTACAGTTTCAAACCCATAAAATGTAATGCTTTACTTACTGAATTTCTCACATTTATTAGAAAATTTCTACTCTGCCTTAGTTACATGCTCCAAGACACGGTTAAATGGAATGACAGGCTCCTTGGTTCCCAAGAGAAAGATTTTAACCAGAAGTATTCTTTCTATAGTCTTTTGGTTGAAACTACATGACTACATGGCTTTCTTTTCCAAGGTTAAAAGGCACCTACTGAAAATGTTCTGCCCAAGGCTTCTAACCTAGAGTTAAAACAGTTCTTAAACTTGTCTTGGAGGTAATCCAAGACTTCTTTTGAAGCATTATTTCCCCTCTCTTCTTACACTGTTCATATTGCTTTGAAAGGAATAACCTGAATTAAATTTTGTGGCAAGTTGTATTATAACTGACAAGCTCCAATATATTCAGCAAGGTGTAAAAAGAATTAGAGAACAGATTGCAAAATATCTGATGTTGGAAACTGGTAGGC